CCACCTGCACGAACAGGACCTGAAGCCGCTGTTCGAGCAGTTCGGCCGCATCTACGAGCTGACGGTGCTCAAGGACCCGCACACCGGCGTGCACAAAGGTGGGCGCCCGCGCCCCGCACCCGCCCCTGCATCCCCGCACCTGACCCCTGCACCCCGGCGCCCTGCCTCCTGCACCCCGGGCCCCTTTCTGCACCTCTCTTTCTACACCTGCACCCCCCCTTAGTCCCCTACACCCCTCCCTTGCACCTGAACCCTCTGGATCCCTCCCCCATACCTCTCCTTCTGCACCCCTGCATCCCAGCACCCCCTTACCTTCCCCTGCACCCTCCTCCGCCTTGGGGGTGCCGCTCTCGATCCAGCTGCCCCCTCCCGTCCTCCGCCCCCTCTCCCTCCCTCCTCCCCACTCCCTCCTCCTCCATCGCTCTCCGTCATCTCCCTCCATCTCCCTCCTCTCCCCAGGCATCTTCCTCTCTCTCCCCTTCTCCCTCCCATTCCCAGAACCCCCCCCCTCCCGCCCTGTGCCAGCAGCTCCGGGGACCCCTGCCTCCCGGTCTCCCACCCCCACCACGTCGCTCTGGGTCTCTCTGGCTGGGCCGGGAACTTCCCACCTCGGGACCGGGATTCCTGCTCACAAAGCCGGGCCAGCTTGGCTGCTGCCGGACACATGTCCAGGACCCGGGGCTGAGCGGTAACTACAAAGACGTGGGGGGGCGCGAGGTTGAGGCTGCGGCCCAGGGGATGCAGGGACCCAGGCAGCCCTGTCTGGGTGGTGCCATCTTTCTGATCCCCTGCGCCCACCCTGGGCTCAAGTGGAACCTGGCAGAGCCAGAGCTGAGGCCGAGACAATGAATGTGAGGTCCGCTGGGCAGACTCCAGATCCCGGGTGTCGAGGACGCGCGTGGGTGGCTTCGCCGGCAGGTGGCTCAAGAACCTGGCTCCCCCTCCCATGGAGCTTCTGGGGGGCAGGGTCGCCCCACTCTGCTCCGTCCCAGGCCCCAGTGTCTGAATCTGGTGGCTTTGACGAGCTCTGAGGGCAGGTGTTGGGGGACCCCCAAGGTTGAGACCACAGTCTCCATCCCCGGCTGGACCCTGGGGGTGGGGGGAGGGTAGGGGCTCCCCCGGATGGGCCGGTACCCGCCTATGGAATGAATGAGAGAGTGTGTGAATGAATGAACGGACAAGCGAGTCAATGGATGGACCAATGAATGAGAGAATGAATGCATGAGTGAATGAGAGATGAACGAATGCACGGTCCCGGGGCGGCCAGCTGGCCTCGAGGCTGGTCTGGCTCCATGGCAGGGAGGGAACTCCTTCACACTCCAGCGCTTTTCTCTACCAACCTCGTTCTCAAACACGTGAGACTGGAGATTTAATTCCCACCCAGGACCGGGACCCGAAGCCCAGGGTCTGGCTCAAGTACTCATGGCTAGAAACTTCAGATGGGAACCCGAAGGCTGCCTGCATGGCACCCCAAGTCGGGGCTTGGGGGGCAGTGGTGAGGCCTGGGTCTCCGGGATCACACACGGGTGCTAGAGTGGGAGGCTCCTCATCTCCCCTGGGAACTCCAGGCAGAAGACAGTGGGGGCGCAAGGCCCGGGGACCGGAAGGCCCGGGGACCGGAGTTATTTTCTTTCTGGTAGATGCAGTGGTCTGGGGGCCTTGAGATTTGGGGACATTGCTCAGGAGGTGGGAATTTGGGCGGCGGTGGCGGTGGGTCCAGGGAGGGTCCGGTTGCCAGTGACTAGAGGTGGACGCTTCCCAGGCCCCACCCGAGTGAGGAGGTGGGGACCCCACAGGCCAGTAAAGGAAGGCTCAGGGTCTGGACGGAAGTCTGTTCGAAGGCCAGGGATGGTGGCACACACGCCTGTCAGTCAGAAACTTGGGATGCTCAGGCAGGAGGATCAAGGTCATCCTCAGCTACATAGCAAGTTCAGGGCTAGCCTGGGCTACATGAGACCCTGGCTCAAGAGAGCTCTTCTCGGGCCTCTGCTGTGTGACTGCCGGTGGCTGCCCCTTCCTGGGCTTCAGGACAATGGAGACAGAATGGAGTGAACTTGGAATTCTCGCACCTGGGACCTCCCACAAATATTCCAATGCCTTTGTTTCTGTTCACACCTTCAAGATAACCCGTAACAGCAGGGGTGGGATCCCAGGGCGGACTAGGCCCTAAATGCTGCAGAGAGACGCAGAGAAGGGGCAGGAGATGGGGCCCATGGACCCTCTGTGACCCTCCCTGGAGCCATCCAGAGTGCGAAGGCCTCCCTCAGCCAGGGCTCAGGGTAGAACCTGGGGGCTGACATGGGGGGGGGTGTCCTCCTGCCCCCACCTCTGAGGGAGGACAGGTCACCTTCGGGGGCTCTCTAGCCCTACAAGCCCTATGCATTTCCATGTTAATGACGGCATTGGCACACTCTGGGGGACAGTGCAGGGGGGGGGGTGGCCTGCTGTTACCATGGGAGCAGCAATGGCTGTCAGGGGCAGGAGGAGGGGATGTGGAGCCCCGAAGCGACAAGCAGCCTTGGGGACACATGGCCTGGCACAGGTGTGGGAGGAACAGTCGTCTCTGGGCCACAGCCAGGTGCTTTCTTGAGACACTATGACGGCTTCAAATGAGACACCATCCAGCTGTGTGCCTCGGTTTCCCTAGCTGCCTAAGAGAAGGTCTTGGAAGCATACATCTCAGAGGGAACTGCTGGAAAAGAATACAGGGTGGTGTGGATTTTGATGAACTCTGGGCACAAGGCCTGGGCTCACAGAGTGGGCGATGCTCCAGTGTTCAGGCTAGAGGCCTTCGCAGGTAGAGAAAGGTGTTCTTGAGGCAGACAACAGCATCTCTGAAGGCCCAGAGGTGCAAGGCCCTGGGAAATCTCCACAGGGAGGAGACTGCTGTGTGCTAGAGCGGTCAGGATTGCATCGGAGACCGGACACAGCTGGAGGGAAGGAGCCGGCTTTGCTTGAGGAAAATGCATGGAGGTGGGTGGATGGAGGGATGGACGGACAGACGGACGGATGGATGGATGGGTGGGTGGGTAGATGAGTGGATGGATGGATAGATGGATGGATGGATGGATAGATGAGTGGATGGATGGGTGGGTGGATGGAGGGATGGACGGATGGATGGGTGGGTGGATGGATGGATGGAGGGAGGGATGGAGGGATGGATGGATGGATGGGTGGATGGAGGGATGGACGGACGGACGGACGGATGGATGGATGGGTAGATGAGTGAATGGATGGATAGATGGATGGATGGATAGATGAGTGGATGGATGGATGGAGGGATGGACGGATGGATGGATGGGTGGGTGGGTATGTGAGTGGATGGATGGATGGATGGATGGATGGATGGATGGATGGATGGGTGGGTGGGTGGATGGATGGATGGATGGGTGGATGGATGGGTGGATGGATTGATGGAAGGATGGGTGGGTGGATGGATTGATGGATAGATGGATGTTGGGTGGGTGGATGGATGGATGGGTGGGTGGGTGGGTGATGTCCCCAGATCTCATGGAGGTGTAGTAATTGTCACCATACCTTCCCCTGGGTCAAGTGTGCAGCAGCACTTGAAATGGGCCTCATGCAGACTCTGAGGAAGGGGCAGAGGTAGGATTCTCACAGGTTCGGGGTGAAGGCTTCATTTTGTTATCTGAGGAATGATGTCCCAGGTTGACCACAATCCCTGCTCAGGTCCTGGTGAAGGAAGGAGCTTTTGTTGGAGGAGCAGAGGAAAGAGACGGGCAGGGCAGACTTAGGCCTTGCCCCTGAGGAATGTGGGAGTGATGGAGCACTGTGGGTGGAGAGACATATGACTTGGTGATCACAGGCTTCTCTGGTTGCTGCTTCATGGAGGATGAACGGGGCGGGGGTGGGGTAGGCATGTGTTTGCAGATGTGAATGGGGGCCACTCAGCTTTTCTTCCTGGTGACAGGATGGGCCAGGTGGAGTCACAGGAAGTTGTTCTTGCTATGACTCGAGTGTTCAGTGGGGCATCTGTGATCCCAGCACTCAGAAAGCTGAGGCAGGAGGATCACTAATCAAGGCTAGCCTTGGCTACAGAGTTGACCAGGAGCCAGTTTCCAGAATAAGGTGGTTGAGAGAGATGGCTCAGAGTGGATACCACTCACCTCAGGATCCTGAGTTCAGTTCCCAGCACAGCTGGGCTGCTCATCACAACCTTCACCCAGTGCCCTGTGGGTCCCCAGAGGGAACAGATCCCCACAAGTTGTCGTCTGCCCCTCACAGGCATGCCGGGGCCCCACAGGTAAATAGATAATCAAAATATTTAATGATGTCCTCTCCAACATTCTGGAATTTTCTGAGTCTCAGGAACCCTTCAGTCATTCACCCCCGACTCCCAGCTCAAAGGCAGATGTTCTGATTGCTGTGTGTCTTGGGGAGGGTGCTGTCCTCTCTGAGCCTTGGTCCACTTCCTACAGCGGTCAGCATATGTAACTCTTGAGCAGTTTGGGAGGTCCTGCTGAAGCTCTGACCACACCCAGATGTGAGCTCACAGTGGCATCTCCAGCCTTCGTGGTCGTTTGGGGCGGGGGTTGTTAACATCGAAGAAGAAGCCCCCCATGGCTCCCCAGGGCTCCGACGTTAGTGGCCTCCTCTGTTTCGATGTCCCGACTTCCCCAGCTCCGGGAGTCTGTCTCATCTACACAGGGCCGTTGCTCCTCCCTCAGCCCGGGAAGCTCAGGGTCTTGTTCCTTCCGGGTGGGTGGGAAAGAACACCAACCTCCATCGCCGAGGTGGGGGGTGAGCGGGCACGTGACTCGGCACTGAGTTCGGATGGGGGGGCCCAGCCGGTCAGCCCCAGCTCCAGCCTCAGAAACCAAGGTGAGGGGACACTCACTGCGGTCCCCGCCTTCACGCACATGGCCTTTAGCCACTGTGTCCCCAAGGTGCCCAGACTTAGGGGCGTCGGTGCCCAGGAACCTCCTAACGCCAGACAGAGGGACGACTTTTCTAAGTGGGGTGACATCCCTGGTGTTGGGGTTCGGCCAGCAGCACGCCAGGACACACCCTCCCTTCCCAGTACCATCAGGGCTCAGAGCTGGGGGGGGGGGTGAGCTTCAGCACCGCGGACAGCGGCCTGGGACTGCAGGGGCGATTCTCTTTGCCCTCTCCTCCCTCCTCATCTTTCCTTCCTCCTCCCTCTTCCCTCCTCTCCCTCCTTCCCTCTCCCTCCCTCTTCTTCCTCCTTTTGGGGTTCTGATACAAGGCCAGTCTTGAACTCTCTATGTACCCGAGAATGACCTCGAACTCCTGGGTGCTGGGGTCAATGGCGGCAAGTTCCAGGCTGCAGGGTGGACCTGCCTTAGAGACCAGGTGGTGGTGGTGGTGGTGGCCCATGCCTTTAACCCCAGCAGAGGCAGGTAGAGCTCTGTGAGTTCCAGGCCAGCCTGGTCTACAGAGGGAGTTCCAGGACAATCAGGGCTACACAGAGAAACCCCCTCTCAGGAAAAAACAAAAAACAAACAAAGAAAGAACTAATAATAATAAAGTCAGTTAAAATAATACAGCCAGGGCCAGCCATAGTGATGTTCCCCACCTGGCTCCATCTGTGAGCACATGGCTTGGCTGTGTGTCCCATCTTCCCAAACTAAAAATTACCCCTGTGAAACATTAGCTCCCCTCCGACCTCCGCCCAGCACCCACCTCCGCCCAGCACCCACTGTTCCCCTTCCTGTGTGTGAATTTGTCAGTGCCAATGACCAAATAAGGACTCAGCAGCGCCGGCCACGCTCCTTGTGCGTCCTCTGCCGAGCTCAGGAGCCTGAAGTCCATCCTTCCCGGGGTGGGACACACAGCTTTCCTTTTCATGGCTGTGTAATAGTTCACCACATGGAAGAACACGCCCACGTGTCAATCATTCATCTATCAACTGGGTGACATTTTCATGGAACCCACGTTCCGGTCCAACCACATCTGATTTGCGTTTTTAACTTGGGGTGTGAGCTCCGTATCCAGAGCAGGGTGGGTAGGTTAGAGAGGACCCCACACCATAGTCTTCTGGCACAGGCATGCGCAGCCCAGAGGACTTGTGGGGAGCTGACCTCCAGGCATGCGCAGCCCAGAGGACTTGCGGGGAGCTGACCTCCAGGCTCCATCCACGACACTCTCTGAACGCAGAGCCCCCCACTCATCCTCCTAACTCCACCTCCCCAGCTCTGAGGTCACGAAAGGACGTCCCGTCTCCCCAGCCCGAAGTTCTGATCCCCTTACACTCCAACTCCCTGTCCTCTCCCCAGCCCTCAGCACCCCAAAATCCACTTCCTGTGTCTGGTTCTCCTGTTCCGGGCATTTCCTTTCATGGAATCCACACTGTGTGGCCTTCTGTGATTGGCTCAGCGGCCTCAAGGCCCCTTTATGCTGTGGAGTGTCGGAGCCTCAGTTCTGGTTATGGCTGCGTAATACTCCACGGTGTGGCTGGACCACGGTGGGAATTTCCGCTGTCCTGGGTGCCCGGGCTGCCCTTCCCCCACCCCTCTGGGCCCATGGCATGGGGTCCTCCTCTCACACGCCGTCTCTCCCACCAGGTTGTGCCTTCCTTACATACTGCGCCAGGGACTCCGCCATCAAAGCTCAGACGGCCTTGCACGAACAGAAGACCCTGCCGGGGGTGAGTGGTCCGCGGAGCGGAGGGGCACTCACAGCCAGGGGGCTAGGCTGGGCTTCCCTGTGCCTGTGGACCCAGATAGAACAAAAGGGGCGTAAGTGTGAGCATCTATTGGGCGCCTACTGTATGCTGGGCTCTGTGCGTCACAGGAGTGATGGTCGTAGGTGGCACAAACGGACCTGGTCAGAAATGCACTCTACTGCTGTGCAGAGGCCCCCGGGGGTGCACTGGGCAATGATCCGGGACGCCCTCGGAGCTGGAGCAGAGGCAGCGACTCGAGAGGGAGAGGAAAGGGACAGGGGCACGAGGGGAGGCAGGGGCAGGGTCTTCTGGCCACAGAGACGGGAGCCTTCCTTCCCCCCCAAGAGACATGTGGATGCATCTGATGTTTCGTGGGACTCCAATAATACACCTGAGGCTGCGGGCTTTACAACGCGAAGATCATTTAGCTCCCCGTTCTGGGGGTTCGAGGGCACACGCTGGCCCTGGGGTAGCGCTGGCAAAGTCCTCGTGGTGGGGTATCTCTGGCAAAGTCCTCGTGGTGGGTGACGTTCAGTGACCGGAGCGTCTGCAGCAGATGGGAACCACGTGGGAGGAACAGATGGGGGTCGGTCAGGTGGGCACAAAGCCGCTCCGTGAGCAGGTGCGTGTGCGTGTGCGCATCTACCTAAGGCCGTCCACTGGCTCTTTAAAACTCGGAGGCAGCTTGGGAAGGAGGCAGGGAGTCCAACAAGACCTCTTGATTCTACCTGCCTGGCTCTGGGATTCCAAGTGTGCACATCACACTTGTTTCTATACGTGAGCATGGAAGGAAGAGTCGGTTCCTCCTATGTGTACTGCATGGGCTTTGAGCAAGTCATAATTTCCTCAGCCGCAGACGTTCCCTTTCACACAATTCCATCCATCTACCCACCCATCAATCCACCTACCAATCCATCCACCCATCCATCCATCCATCTGTCCATCCACCCACCCACCCACCCATCCATCCACCCATCCATCCATCCATCCACCCATCCACCCATCCATCCACCCACCCACC